TGTTAGCTAACAAGTTAACAAGGGCTAAGTTAAACCCTGACACACATAGTACTAAACCAGTCCGAACATCCTGTATCAAGAAGGCGTTTTTCTGAGTTGTCTTGGTAACATATTTCAAACTTGTCAGCCTCTGATTGGCTGTGCAAATCATAACAACAAAACCTTAAAACTGAATCATCCTGAGTGATTCGACAGTTCTAGAGAATCGCTCAGACCGGCCATCTGTAGAAAAAACTCTTTAACCATCAAAGATTTTGACATGTCGTCAAAACCTTTTTGCACCTGCAAAGCTGATGAAGAAACAGTTCTGTCAAAAACAAAGCTGACATTGCTAGACTCCTTAAGAGTCCGCCAGACGCACGGTTCAATCCAGCTGTTGTGACCCGAGACGTCTCTGGACTGAAGAGTCGGTACCTCGGTATTCTACAGCCCTCTGGTGCCAGAGGTCAGCCGAACCCTGCGACTTTCAGATCCACCGAGAGGGTCTCTCCAAAATGGGTGAAGTAGACATGACAGATAGCGTCTGAATGTTCTTCTGATGATAACAACTTTATAGCTTAGAGCAAACCAAATTCTTTTCACTAGAATTCGGCTTACTTTGATTAGGAAGCTCTGGCTGACATCCCATTCAAACATAGGTTCCTTCATCACGTTTAGTTACATCCACTCACAGTAAATGCTTAGTTAATTAGTCATGTTTTAAAATGTTTGTAAAATAAATTCTTACTTTTATAAACCTGACTCTTTCCTGAAATAACGCAAAGTGTGGTTGATCACTGAAAAAGCAAAGAGCCTAGATCTTCTGAATCAAATCCTAGAATCGTCTGATAATTACAATAAAGACGTAGCAGGTTCATATTTTATATTTATACAGAATATTACGTCTTCCTGATCATAACAGATAAAATCATCAATTTGCCTCCGCTACACTGATGCTTATTACAAAAGTGTAAAACTCCAAAGTTTATGTGGATGTCTTTGTGAGGACAGCAATGATGATACAAAAACTGCAACAATAGAAAACAATTTTCATGTTTCTCAAATTTGAGTTAACACTAGAACTCCCAAGGCAGTCATTTTGACTGTTTTCATATTTTGATATGTAATAACTTTAGTTAGATGGATCTCATGTTGTCCTGGCTCCCTGGCTTTTCCTATTTTTATGGGTCCTTTATTTTTGCTTTATAATTTTCATTAAATAATGAATCAAAAAAGAAATATAGCTGTCTTCGTCTCCCACAAGCTGTCAATTTGACGGCTCGATTGTTTACATGGTAACGTTTTCCTGCGGATAACGGAGAGCGTCACCGTCTTTAAGCAACCAACTTTCCAGCTTGCGCGCTCCCTCTCCGTTCATACGGCGTGTGAAATAGCTTCTAAAACTGCTTTTAGACAAACATTCTCAGTGAAACAAGCATGAGAAATGAAGCTGCTTCAAGCGGAGAGGGGAATGCTGATGAAAACCGGTCAGTAGGAAGAGGCAGAGACTCTGACAGAAACGCGGAAGACGATCTGGGACCCCTCGCCCCCCACCCACGGGGAAAAGATCATGTCGGTCACCAATAGAGAGACTTCTTTTCAAGGTTTGGATTAAAATTATATTTCCTTACCATATTATTAGGTTCACACATCCACAAAGAGTTCATTAATAACTAGGGTTGTCACGGTAACCAGTGTAGCGGTAAACCCCGGTAAAAAAAAAAGTTGACAATAATAATAACCGTCTTGTTTTTTAAAAAACTATATTATCTTGGTGGGTTTACCGTGGCTGCGGTGTAGGCGCGGTGACCCTTACCAGCCACTGTATCATCGGCTGAAGTTGCCGGCGGCACATGCACGCTTTGTTTACAACAAAACTTTCTTGAAGCTAAAGCTGAAATGATCGCCAAAAGAGGAGACAGCAGCGCTCAGGAGGACATTTATTATCCCTCAAAGAAGACAAAGTGGGAAGTACGGGCATCTTTTGGATATTTGAAGAATGTCGAGGGACAGCTGATAGAAGACGGCTATCCTGTTTGTAGCACGTGCAGAAAAAGAGTCTGTGAAAGGCAGCAACGCTTCAAATCTCATGACACATCTGCGTGACCATCTCCCACAACTCTACAGTCAACGCAAGGCAAGCTAACGTTAGCGTTTTAGCTAAAATGCGTGATCCGAGGATTTGGGTTTATGTTTATGTTTATGTATTTAGCAGACGCTTTTGTCCAAAGCGACTTACAAGTGATAATCGGCATTTTGCCCTTGAGGCTAACAACAATAGTAACAACAACAAATTGACATCAGTCATGGAGAGGAGGGAACAAGGAGTGGACAGTAGAGAGGGGGGACGGGTGCAGGCAAGGTGCTAGTTAAGAAGATGCTCTCTGAAGAGCAGGGTCTTCAGGAGTTTCTTGAAAATAGAAAAGGAAGCCGCAGTTCTGGTAGTGTTAGGAAGGTCATTCCACATTTGTGGTTGAGGGAGAATGCAACGAGTCGCTATATAAAGCAGCCGCAGCGCCGCTACCTGCATATAAACCGTGTCGCGTACACCGCCATAACGCACTTGAAACCATTTTGCTCCGTAACGTCATCGTCAGCCTGCATTTAATGGCCGAAATGACAGCCATCAAACTGACGGTTCCTGGGAATTCTAGTGAAGTAAAAATTCTGAGAGTTCTAGTGTTAAATGTGTTTGATGTGCATAATGTTTTAGAGGTGCAGCTTGATAATATTTATTGATATTTAGGGCATGAATTTTGCTGCTTAACATAAAAGTCCCCAAATATTGGGACCCTCGGGCTCAATGGAAAAAATTAATGCCACCCCAAAATGTTCTCTGGCCCCCCATGAAAAATATCTGGGGTTGCCACTGCATTCACAAAAATATTGCTTCTGTTTTTCACCAGCTAACCAAGTAATCAAACGATTACATCACTCAGTCATTTTGCATATTTCTGTAGTGTCAGCTTGTGCCTTAGGAGCAAAGGTGATGCAAGTCATGCAAACTGCCTCAGGCTGCAGAGGCTAAACAGTATCCAGCCTTCAGTCAGTGCAACATGTGCACTGTTTCTGTCAGAATTGAAGGAATCATTTTTTAAAATATACACATCAGCCTTTAACCCAAAGAAGGAAATGTGTGGGGGAAAAAATCAAACCCAGTGGATTTGTCCTATTTGCTCAAATGAAAATCTATTGTGAGCTATTTAAATGTCCACATGCTCCAAAAGCAGCATTGCAGTTCTTACAGAGGGAAAGAAGTTGTTTTGCTGCTTTAATGTGATGCGGTAGTTGTTTTAAATAGGTGGTAAGCACAAGAACTTTTGCGAGTCACAGATCATATTTTTAGAAAGACTGGAGCCTCCTGTTCACCTCTGCTTGGTTTGATTCTTTAATCAATTGATCAAACAGTTGTTCTCAAGATGATGGAATGTACTGCTGATGAGCACGCTCTGATTTATCCTTCCATCATGAGGAAGCATGTCTGCAATTAAGATGGACAGATGGTGAAGGCTGCTAAAGAAGAGAGAAAGAGATGTAGAGGCAAAGACTGAGCAATGACGAGAAGCACTACAACCACTGGGTTGCTCATGAGACGCTCCGTCCCCTGGGATGCTGTTTGTGGAGGGTGGGCGGCGGCTTGCAGACATGCACACTTTTATCACCAAGCCTCATTACCGGTGGCATCCATGCTGAGGGACAAGAATGCAACACATCACTACACTTCAATTGCTTGCCACATATTTGAATGTTTCAAAAGTGCTGTTGCATCCAAAGACCCGTCTCTGTTCTATTTTTAAATACAAGGACTGCTTCTTTTTCCTTTGCATGCAAAAAAAGGCATCTTAAGCTGATAGGTATGCATGTCTTTGAGCTATAAAAAACACATGTGATCAGTCATTAATAGGCCCATAATACAAATCAAAGCCATTCTCCTGTACTCCAGCACTCATGCTCTACATTTAAATGTTGGCTGCTACAAGGAGCAGCAACAAAATGCCTCCATGTATTGAATGAATGTGTCACATTGAGAGCAAGGAGGAGGTCGTTAGGACCCAAGATGCAGATTACCCCAGATGACACGAGGCAGGAGCGTTTTAAAAGTAAATCCTTTTATTAGGATGATGAACAAAAAAATCCAAAAAGGGCAGGAAGCCAAAAACCCAAAGTCCTGAACAACAGGAGAAACAAAAGCTCACATAGAGCACAAAACAACGCTGACACAAACAATGGACCGACAAGACACTGAGACACGGACAGGGCTTTATACACTGGGGAGAATGAGAGGGAGATGACCTGCAGGTGTGTGAGGAGAGAGACCAGGTGAACAGAGTTACTAATCAGGGAAGAAACTAACAGTTTGCGGACCACTGTTGTAAAGGGTCATTTTAGCACATACTGGCTTAAGAAAATGATTTAAAAAGATGAAAACATTTCATAGTATGCCTTTGTGGTTTCATTGCATCTGGTTCAGAACTTGGGACTCCGTGTTGAATCCAGGGTTTCTCACATGTTGATGGTTCAGTCGTCCAGATACCGGTGGAGTGTTTTTAAGCCCATGAGTGACAGTTACATGCCTTTATCTTGAAACTTCATGTCAATGTCCTCCTCTCAACTAGAAGTGACAAATGACCTGCTGGTTATCCTGCTGGGATCACCTATATGACACCTTGATAAACATGCCAGTGCAGCGTGCTGACACTTGGCATCTTGCAGCCTGTCGGCAAGTACAGTTCCAAATAGGATGATTGAATTACCTCTAATCTTTCCTGGGAAAATGGATTTATTTCTTTTGTCACCCTCCTGCACATTTTCTCACTTTCTGACGCTTTTTATTCTCCGCTCATCGGTTCACCTTTTAAGTTTTCTGCCATTGTTTTTCTTTGCACCAAAAAAAGAAGATGAAAAAGGTCAAAGTAACGAATGGTCTGCAAAAAGCCGCAGAAAGGAAGGCCTGTTTTGTTCCCCCCTCGCCCCTCCGAGCGTGGGTAATAACCAATTTTGTGTGTGTTCTCTGTTTGCAGGAGAAGGAGAAAGCAGACGGGAGCATCGATCAATGTGAGTACACTTACAGTGTTCAAACCAAACAGCATTTTTCAAAATATGCCATGTTGTGCTCCATCACAATATTTTCTTTTTTCTTCTTCTGCTGTTAGTCTGGCATACACTTTTGTCTTCTGATTACTGGGAAACGCTGCGAGCAAGTAATTCAGCTCCAAATAGCTCAGATAAAATGGACTGTGGAGAAAACTGATAATAATATATTTTTGATATTGTGAGAAGTCCCACTTGTTACTGGATTGCATTTGTTGCTCCTCAGATTGTATTTTAATGAAAGCATTATGGATTAAAATCTGAAACAGATTTTGGTGGAAGTGAGTTTGCTGTTTGTGGTAGTTTGGTAAATTATAATTTACATTACAAAAATGTATTAACAGAAGACAAATTAACTCTATGCGTCCTGCAGTTCACAGCCACGCATCTAAAACCGCTTCATTCATAGTGACAACCTCTCTGTCAAGCTGTCAGGTCAATAATTTAATTTTCCTGTCAACCATGTGCATTCCCCTGTCAGCCATAAGAAAGTGATGTTTGTTTGACTTGTTTTTTCATGTGCTGTCTTGGTGATTGCTCACAGGGTTTATGCCTGCAGTAATCATTCAGTCTTGACTCGAAGCTCCCTGTAAATCTGCTGCTGAGAATTTCTTTGAGACAAACTACACACCAGAAAAAGCAATGTCCACCGAGTTCTCGACAAAGACACCAGTCGGACTAATGTTACAGGGGCCATGTGTTGACTTTTTGCACTGTTTCTTTAAACTTGTAGCTTCTATTTTCACCCTTGAGCTTTCGGGCTCTTTTGGTCGGTGTTCCTTCGGCCCCTGTCTTGCAGGATGAAGACTCCACTACAATGTAAGACATTGGACAGAATGGTGATGGCCTTTTCAGGGACTTGAGGCACAACAAAAGATCACAGTGGGGTCCTAATTACACATGGTGAAGTGTGATAGGTTTGGAGCATGCACAAGTTGTCGCAGTTAGTTGAGCTGAAGCAACTTGCAGTTTTGTATGTTTAGCCCCAGTCCACCCCCCCCCCCCCCCCCCCCACCCCGCCGACCCCGGCCCTTTATCTGTCTACTCCGTCAAATTCTTCCAATTAATTTTGCTCCTTGAAAACCTGATCATGAACTCGGATGGCTGTAAAGTGTGTGAATCAACACACTCGCCTTTATGTGTGAGTATGCACAAAAGTCCAACAAGCTTGGTCATTGAGAATTTGAAGCAGCTTCCACCATGTTGGCTTCATGCCCATGAGCGTGTCACACTATTGAGTTAGTCTAGCATAATCTCCTCACTCAGCTGCATTCAGAGGCAGTTAGAAACCAATGGGTTGGGATGGAGTCCAGGTGGTGGGAATGTAGGCACACATTATGGGATGGTTGTGGAAATGTGCAGCTGGACCTTAAAGGTGGACCCAAAAGGGTTTTCTAAAGCCATGTACATATGTAGTCGGGTTTTTGTAGAACCAAATATTTTCAACAACCCATCTAGGAAAAAAAGAAAAACTTGGGTCCACTTTTATTCACAGGTATGCCAAGCCTGTAGGATTACAGCTTTTTCCCAAATCGTAGGCATGTGTGCTGAAAAACATTCCCTGAACGTGTAATAGCATTGTCTTTTACATTGTCCTTTGCCTGTGGTCTTCTAAACTAAGCAATGGTGGAGCTTTTAAAAACAAGTGAGTGTAAACACAGGTTGCACATGTGTTGTGAGTGTTTTTGTAGCTGACAATGATGATGGGGAAACCTAAAATCCCGCTTAATTACATCCAAACGCAAATGCTGAGAATGGAAAATTAGCAAATCTCCCCTTAGGTGAGAGTGTTTTTATTTTTTATTTTTGAAAGAATCGCTTTTGGTGCCATATAGTCTCACTTTTGTGGGAATGGGGCGCCACAGTTTAGAAAACAGTCTTTGTTTTATGTGATACCTGGTTACGTGTGTGCAGTGTCTAAATTTGCCTAAAACCACACATCCCAATTCATAATGAAGTTTTGTGCAAAATATGGCCATGTACAGACGACTTCAGCCAATCAAATCTTTGATTTTGTTTACTTTGTTGCTTAGATCACATTTAAATCTTGATTTCTGATTATTTGCACGAATAAGCTCATTATATTTGTGTATCTTGCCTATGGTACACACGAAAGTAAGCTGGATTTAGGTCAGCTCTGCTAATTCGAGACAAAATCCTTAATGTTTCTGCAACATTTTACCTTGTATCTTCTTGGATTGTATCGTAGGTAAACAGTGGAAGGACACCTCGTTCTATCCGATAAGCACTTTTGTACGGTGGCTACATGGGATCAAAAAGAGTTGAGCAAAAGTTTACTAAGCTTTAGGCTTGACCATTTTCAGTTACAGCTGTGGTGTGAAGCATTTGGTTTAGTGTGGCTTCACTGGCTCTGCTAATGAAGAAGTCCTCCCTGTGTGCTACATATCGCCCACACGTTCACAAACCATGTTCCTCGACTGCAGTTTGTGTATTATTTGCTTGACAGTGAGACTGTTACGGATCCTGGGCTCTCGCACCCTGAATGGCCCAGTTCTGCTCCGTTCTTCTGTTCAGGACCTTGGACAGGTCCTGCGTCAGGCTGGCTTCCACCTTTGCCCGCCTTCAGCACCCCAGCTGAAAGCCATCAGCTGATGAGAGCTGATGGCTTAAGAGACTGCAGCTCTCAGTTCTCTGGGAGAGAACCACAGCATAACACCCTGTTCTTCTCTCCTCGGTCCTTGGATCATTTGTAGCAAACGGCTTTCGATTTGGATAAGAACTTTGATAATTTCGGTGACTACGATAGATAGTTCTTTTGGTAACTCCTTTGGTTGTTAATAGTCGTTTTCGTTTATTGATCCATTTGTCTGCTCTTTAGCTTGAATTTCAGTTCCATTTCCAGCTTTAGAGCTCGCTTTAAGTTTAGGAATAATATTTAGAGTAGAGATAGCCGTCGAGATTTATTGTATCTAGTTAATCAGCTCCGGCATTCTTCGTTTATCAAATATGTCCTCGTGTTTTCTTCCCTGAGGCCTTTTGCCTCAGGTGTTTTGATTTCTACCCGTCACATTCGTTTAGTTATAATAGAGTGCATTTTTCGTTTAGTCATTATTCCAGTCAAGGACTGAGTATTTGTGTTCTCTCTCTAATACATTTTATTTACCCCCCCCCCCCCCCTTCTCCGCACCAGTTATTATGTTACCCCTCCACCACAACTGACTAACATCCAAGGGTTTGTAACATAAATGGGGGCTCGTCCAGGATTTTCAACCATCCCATGAAGGACTTTTAATGGCATGTGCTTTTTGCAAACAGGCTTTATTAAGATGATTTTAAGATGTATGGTCAGCTGTGTCCTCTCAGGTATTGTGAGAATGTCCTTTTTGTTTTATTCTGTTGTGCTTGTGCAATTTTAAAGTGAACAGAGTGAATTACCTATAGGCTGTAGGAGCGCACCCTCTTTAGGATGCGTTCTGGTTTGTTTTTCTAGTATTGGGGTTATGGAGGTTACCATTGGTGAAAATTCTACCATCTTGGGAGCACCCCAGGGATTTGAAGGGATGGGCTCTCCTGTCCGCTGGTCCATTTGTGTGTAATCAGCTCACCTCTACGCCCCATGAAGACTGGTGTGGAGATCAGCTGGGACTCCTCCAATTAGCTAGAGGGAATTCTTGTTGGACAAAAGACCTGGGAGTGTTTGGGATGTAATGATAGTTAATTTACATTTAATTAAGGACCGTAAGACATTAAAATTTCATATCGAGTATGAAATCCATCTTACGGACCACTGAGTTGTTTAACCAGAAGATCGGAACTTTTTAATGCATGGATTAAATAACACCTTGTATTAACTGAGAGACAAGAGAAGAGGGAGAGACCTTCAAACGTTTTAGATTATTTATGTCTCCTGCACTCGAGCACTGTGTCAAAAGGGGACTGTGGAAAGAGGTTAAATAACCTTGGTGGAAACAGCTCCTTCATCACGTTACAGGGATAAAAGCCATGGAGGGCAAAGGTGAAAGAAAAAAATTGTGGTTGAACTTGTTTTAATTTTGTCTTTCTTTTAAGGGAGGAAGTGTTGCAGCTGTTGCTGTTTGTCTCAGAAATCAGACGCTGCAGAGGACTAGCAGTGCTTTGCCTCCTCCTCCTCCTACCTGCACAGCTGCACTCACTTGGGCTTATCACCTCCTGAGCAGCATAAAAAGGAGAGCTGTCAGGAGGAAGGGAGAGACTGGATCTTTGCCAGTTCTCTCATGTGCTCCATTTGTTTGTGTTTTAATGGCTTTTAAATGGGTTTTAGTTATTTAAGCTTGGTGAAGCTTAAGAGCTTTTAGAAGTGTTTAACAGATGAGGGACCAGAGTGCTGGTTTCCTCTTGGCTCCCACACTTCTGTGTAAGTCAGTGGACTTTCATTGTGAATGTTTGGGAGCATTCGGATGTCTGTTTTAAACATAAACCCATGGCCATTTTAGCATTGTGTTCTAAGTACTTTTAGATTTGGAGCTTTGGACAGCATGGTGGGAGTATCTTAAAATGACAGTCTTCACTAGTACCATGCAGATGCACACCTATCTGGAATAATCCTGATATTTTGCAAAATAATAAAATGATGAACCTTCTGGACTGGAAAAATAAAGGAATCCTATACCTGGAACACATATATGAAGGATTGGACTTCATCCCATTTAATAGAATAGTCTCCCAATTTGGAATAGATAACAATAGCTTTTTAGAATACCACCAAATTAAATCTGTAGTCAAACAAAAATTTAAGCTCAATAAAATAGAATTACAAACACCACCAAGGGTATTAGACTTCTATAATCTCAACCTGTGTAAAAACTTTTAAAATGATCAGACACTCCAATTTACAATTAATTCAGTACAAAATTCTACACAGAGTACACTATACAGGTCATCGGATGTTCAAGATGGGGTTTGTGTCTGACACCTGTACACACTGCACAAACAACATTCCTGACAATTACATTAATGCACTGTGG